AGCTTCCTATTTCTCTTCGACATCCCCATCATCTGAAGTGTCTGATGCATCATCACAAACATCATCTGGCTGGCCCACATCGTAAGTTTCGATGTGTGAAGAAATGAATTTAAACATGTCACGTGGCATTCTATTTCTATAAATATATTTTCCTTGGTCAATTGACCAAAGCTCTTCCACGGGATTAATAACATCATGGTGAGCTCCCATGTAAAGAAGAATTCCTAGGTACCTCAGGATGCTCGTTTTAGGAAGTTTGTTATCATCAGTCTTATGTTCTTTGGCTATTTTTTTATTTGAAAACAACAAAAGGTTATTTGTTATCTCTTCACAAAAAACAACCTAAAACACTCAACTTCAGTTAAAATACTTCCTTTGGGATCAAACGAGTAAGTCGGATCAGGCGAAGCTTTAACGTGTCGTGAGCTTTTTGGTGCTTCTCCTTCTTTCTTCCATTTAAATGTGCCAACAATCTCGTCTTCTTGCATAAGGTTTATGTTTTTTCTAATTCGATAAAAATGTTTGCGATAGAAATATACTGTTTTAATTTAACGTATTTTAATATTACATTGATTTACATATATATAATAAATAATAATATTATTATTAAAAACGATCAGTAAATAAAATTATTAAATATTATTGAATTATATAAAAATAATCCAAATTAATAATAAATCAAATAAATTTAATTTAAAATTATGATTATATTTATTATAAAATAATACAAATTATAACTATTTTTATATTGTTATTATTGATTATATTTATAAGTCAAATTTATTAAAAATTTATTATTAGCTTGTTTTTATGTTTCATTTAGTGGAATTATTTTCAAACGTTTTATGAATAAATATATTTTTTGTTATCTTATTTCCAAATTAATATACAAGAATTTACAATAATTAATAAATAAATAATTGTAAAAATATACTATTGCCACTTAATACAATCTATCTTAAAATAAATAATGATTCAAATTTCTCAATTTAAAAAAAATAAACAAAACAACTTTTTTGTTGTATTTTTAATATATACACAACTACTTTAATATAAAAATTATGATAAAACTTATTAGAAAAAAATTATATTATTTTATATAAATACAACAACACAATTGATAAAAGTTTTAAAATAATAGGTTTTTTAACTGATTGTGTTAAGTATCTATTGTTTTCAATCTATAGTCAGCGAAAAAAACCACTTGTGGAATAAAACCACTTGTATTTTTTTAGTGTTTTTGATGGTAATATGTTATTCTTTTACATTTTTTTGTTTTTCAGAAAAAAATAAAAAAGAAAAAAGCACACAAAAATTTAGAGTTGCCATTGCTCTTTCGAACTGAAACAGCCAATAAAACGAAATTTATTTTCTAAATAAAAAATACTTATAAATAATTAAAGTGTTTTAATAATTCAATTATAAAACAATGATAAAAAGAATATTAAAATAATAATTACCACGGTTTACACAAAAGTGTTGTGGATTGTAATAAAAAATATATACCAACGGCTGAGGAGACACCTCACAAATACTTGATATAATTAAACAGAATTCTAATTGTTCATACAATTATATTGTTGTCTTACTTGTTGTTCTGTTGGTCATTTAAAACCGAATCATAAACAAATGAAACCAAGCTTACGTGTAATAACAAACTATAATACGAACATCGATCAATCTACAAACACTTAACAACAACACCAATTGTCCCACAATAATTTATAGATTAATAGTTCTCTAATGATTATTTTACTATTTATTATTGGTTTTATATGTAAGAATTAATAAAAACTATATTATTATTGTTGTTTGTCTATTAACCCTAACTATCTTCACATAAAAAATGCTATTTATTACTATTTATTAACTATTAACTAAAATATCATTTTATTATAGTATTTTATAGTAAAAATATAATTATAAAAATGGATCTTTTATTTTTGTTTATTGGTTGTGTTTTATCATCAATTTTTACAAGTTTTTGCTACTTTTTATCTTAATTACACAATATATAACTATAAATTTATCTGTTTATATCAATATAATTATTATCATTATTTGGTTTATCAAATTATTAATTTAAGGCAAATTCAAACTATTGCTACAATTTACATTATAATATTATTAATTATTTTAACCAATTAGAGTATAAAAGTATATCATTTTTAAAATGCATTTTTGGCAGAACTATCAACCCGCCAATAAAACCACTTGTGAACAATTTAATTGGTATTCTAATGATAAATTTTTACTGTTTTTTTATGTTTGCATTTATTATTTAATTTATCCACCCACTTAACAAATAAAACCACTAAAAAACATCTTCCATGTTGTGTATAAGATGTTTCTTTCCACTAATATTTTATATGCCGAGTATTATAACTTTGTTTTCGTGTCTCCTTTTTCGGCATACACGTATGATTGCTACCATTTATTTGATATTTTGTTTTTATTTTTTTACCAAAAAGTTTTGGAAAGCGTCAAACAAACAACATTTTTGTAAAAAGAATAGCGACAACTAAAACCACTTGTAAACATTTTACTTTAGACACAACATGAAAACTTGACACTATTACTATGTTTGCCTGAAAAATTAGCAAACTTTTGAAAAAAATGTAAAAAACAATAGGGGCAAACCGAAATTCAAAAAACCACCTGTGATAATTAATTCTTAATATTCCGATTAAAATTGTTATAATTTTACATTTATTTAAAAAATACCACACCAAGTGAGTTTTTTCAAACACAACGAACGGCACACATTCATTGCGTTGATGTTTGACGGTGAAATAATGAAATGATGGTTTGTGACCCACATCAAAACATTGTGGAAACGTGTTTGAAAATATCAATTTGGGTTTTGGCCGACGAATGCACTTTTGAAAAAATGAGGTATTGGTTGAGAGGGGGGATGTAATAAAGGTGCAGTGATTATAATGGATAAATTTTTAATATTGAGAGTTATAAAACTGTTTAAAAAACAAATTCACGTTGTATTTGTTTAGATTTATTGTGTTTCCAACAAGGTGTATTCAAGTTATGAACCCAATAAACAGGACTAAAAAAGGCAAAAATTGCAAAAGGAAGTGTTGAACAAAGGTTCAGCCAATGGTTTGAGTCTTAACGTTTTGTTTTTTGGTTGAATAACATTTTATAATAACAAAATTTGATTGATTTTTGAAGCTAATACTGTATTCATTAAATAGTTTTAATGTAATTTCTCAGCTAAAAAACAATTTTTTTATTTTTTTGAATAAGTCTCTTAATAGCCCCGGCAAATAACCATTTCATATTACCAAAAAAATAATTAAAAAACAAAAAAAGTCAAAAGGCAATTTGAAAATGTTATAAGAAAGTGGTCTTTCTATTTTTATGTAAAATTGACACTTAATATAAAATATTTTAAAAACTTAAACTATACATAAAACTATATATTTGTTAAAAAAGAACCATATTATTTATCCAAATGGTTTTATTCCACAAGTGGTTTTTTCGCTGACTATATCAAAAATTATTTAAATGGTATATTTATTTAACTAAATAATAATATTATGTTGTAGTATATAAAAATAAAAATAATTATCAAAAAACAGAAACATACTTGATTTAAATAACAAAAAAATAAAAAGAGTTGAAAAATCAGTTATTGATAACAATCGAATTTATTATTCAAAAAACACTACAAACCAACATTATAATCCAAAACAAATTGTAACAAATTATTTTATTTTTATGTGTTTTTATTGTTATTTCCTGAAGTACACATAATTATGTTATATTCACAGTAATAAATAAAAAAACAAAAAACTTGTTTTCTGTGTTTATAAATAAAAATAAAAAACATATACTAATTATTTTGTGAACTGTAAACACAGATTAGTGTTTACTACATTGCTCTTGACATCAACAGAGAATGTCAAAAAACTGCCTCATCATTCAAATTTTAGAAATCACATTAACCTTCAAATGGTAAAGTTATCACCATTGACAATGAGTAATCAAGATGCTCAAAAGCTCTCTTCCATCATTTTTAGTATGGAAACATTAGGTATCCACGAGATAACTTACAACTCAATCATGAAGTGTGATGTCGATATCTGAAATAAGTTATATTAAGCATTTATTCCTTCGATTCAATTCTATGTACCCAGACATCAACGACAGACATGAAAAGAAAGTTGTTGAAGACGAGAAATGAATTGGCATAGTTAATGCTGTTTATGCTTGGCTCAATTATATTTTATTAGTGCGGGTGTTTATTTGGTTTACTTTTAATTCTTATTGTTAAAATGGATCATACAATTCTAATAAACTACTATCATTTTATCATTCACAAGTTGATTTTTTATAGTTTATTAATAATTTAAATTATTATACAATAAATTATTCTTTTGTCACGCATTGTATAATGTATCCAAAACTGCTATTTTTCTTGATTTAAATTAATGTTTTATAGCGTTGTTTTACCATATAAGACAAATAATTTAATGTTATTGTTGTGTTAATAAATTAACACACAAAATTGATAATAATTAGTAAGTTTTTATCGTATAAATTAGGTTGTTATTTGGTTTTCCGGGTATTTTTAGTTTGAGTGGAATCCATTTTTTATTTCAACAACAATATTTTTGTTATGTTCTTATTTTGGTTTGGTTTGAACCAATTTTATTGGTTATATCAAACCCACATTTTGCACGCCTTTTAAGTGTTTTTTGTTTTTGAAAAACTTGAATATCTGATAATAATATTTAATCAATTTTATTAACATTTTTATTTGTTAATGAAAACAGTTTATTTTTGTATTATTTTTATTACAAATATTCATTTGTTAAATTGTATATTTTATTGATTAAAAAACAAATCTTTAACAAAGATCAATTGATTTGAGTTTGTGAATGATGAAATGTTGATTAAATAATTCAAAAAATTAAATTTAAGTTGAACTGTTTTATTAAATAAGTCAAAAATCGTTCTTAATTGTTCATGAAAAGTCGTATTTATTTTCATTTTTTAGAAAGTGTTTTGTTTTTTTGATTATTTTTTAAAAAAATTTAGTCCTAAAAGAATGAATAATTCTTGTTCTTTAATTTGATCAATAATCTATTCCTCTTAACGAATCATAGATATGTAAAATTGGTCTATACCCACTGTTAATTAGCATAAAACTTTGTCTCTGTTATTTGAACCCAATTTATTTTTATAATGGTCTAAAGTCTTTTTTCTCACAATCCATTAAAATTTATGTTTTTTTCACAAAACAAAGATTAATAATTACATAAATAACTATATTCAATTAAATTCTAAGTAATTAATTGTTTAATTATTAAATATAAATAAAATATTAATTCACTAATAATATAAATATTTTGTGGCATTATTGATTTTGTTTTGAAATAACTCGGCAAAAAACATTAATATTTTTTATAAAGTCCGTTTTCTATTTAACGATATTGGTTTTTACTATTATTTATAATAACAGTATAATAATTTATAATAAAAATAAAGTGGTTTTTCTGAAAAATGGTTTGTATTTTATTTTTTGTTATTTTTTAATAAATATGTGTTAAAAATCACAAAAAAATGGCTAAACAACTGAAAAATTTATAAAGCCAAAACGAATGATAACTTGGTGTCGAAATGAGAATACGACGAAACAAACCAATCAGGTTATTCAAAATGAATAAAATGTCATACTTGATAAAGTAGAAATGTCAAATTATCATTTGGGTCAAATTGAAAACGACAATAAGTGAATTGGAAAAAAGTCAATGTTCAAGAATTGTCTAACATTAGTTTCAATTAATGACAATTTTATTAATAGTTAATGGTTTTTAATTAGCGATATTGAGTTTAGTAAATAATGGTTTAATATTTTTTGTCTAGTTTTTTCTTTGTTTTTATAATATTGTTATATAGAAAACAGACTTTATAGTAAAAAGTGTTTATTTGTGGGTTTTTAGACAAAAAATAACGTATATTTGTGGGTTTATAATGGAATTATGAAGTAAATTCTATTCATCATTTTCCATAAAAAACAGTGTTATAGAATATATACTATCAATATTCGATAAAAGGATTTATTCGATAAGAGACCAAAAAATAAAAAGGAGGTTTCTTATTGAATATTGGAAATAAACAACAATTTATTTTTTGCTATTTTTTAATATTTTTTTTCTAAAATATTAATATGATAATACATAAACCAAATTGTCATTAAGTTAAAAAAATTAAAATAATTTTTAAAATTATTTATAAAGCAAATGAATTTTTCATCTAAACGGAAATAATGTTAATTAATGTGTCGTTGGAGCGCATTAAATTATAATAAAACAACAAGTGTTTATTTTGAAAACCAAAAGTTGTCATATTGCTCTTCATGTATTCTGCTTAAATACTGTTTATGTTATCTGTCAATATTTTGATTCTATAACGGACGTTTTGTGTTTTAATAAACACTAATAAAATATAGTATTTGTTTTACATATTATAAATTACAAAAGTTATTATAAAAAATGGCAAAAAATTTTTTTGGGGTGAAAATATATTTTGGATTTATCTTGAGACAAAAAACAAAATGTGGTATTTTTGTTAATTAATCAAGTTTTTGTTATTTGACCTAATATGGAACATAGACTGGACTATTATCGTATATATACTGTAGTAGTTTTTTTTAATTATAATAAAACTATATAATTAATTTAAGTGTATATAAATTCAAAGTTCTCGATCAAAATAATTATTTGTGGGTTTTACATTTGATTGGTCTATTGACCCACGAATAGACGTAACCCACAAAAAGACACTTTTTACTTTATTTTTTTCTGTGTTACATATGATTTGGTTATATATAATATATTTTTTTTAATAATCTGAATTATACAAAGTAGTATAATGTTTATAAATATATAAATTAAGTATCAAAGCTCCCTGAATTATAAAATCAATTCTTGGATGTTGAGGATTTTAGCTTCGATGTCGGACTCCAACTTGAGAGTCTTAACTGATTTAGGTAAAGTGAATTTGTTAAGGTTTTCGCAACTATTCAATATGACACTTTCTAATTGAATTCCATTTTCAAATTGAAGTGAGATTAAAGTTTCTGAAGAATGACAATATAGAGTTTTGACGGATTTGGGAATAACGAGTTGCTCAATATTTATATTGGAAACAATTAGCGATTCTATGTGGGGTGATAACACGATATTCTTCCCATTAAAATGTCTAATGTTAACATTAGTTATTTCCAAGTCGTACAGATCAAGCAACTCTTCTCTAAAATACTCGATAATAAACTCTTTGACATTTCCAATATCATTGATTTCTTTTGCATTAAATTTTTTTGGATAGGACAATTCAAAATAAGTTAATTGATTCAACTGACATTGAGGAATTTGATTTGTAATTAATATCTGTAGATTCTGAAGTTGACTCAAATTCACAATGTTTTGATCAAACATATCAAGTCGAGTCAAATTGGTTGGTAATACCCAATTATACTCGAAGTTCCTACAAGATAAAGATAGGTCATACAACGCATTGTACTTACTCAAGTCGTGTGTTTTTTCATTACTTTTATGTTTGTATTCCCAATGATAAAGTTTAACGATTGGGAACCCATACTTCTGAATGACATCCCCATCAATAAGATCATTCACGTCGCCCGAGATACAGTTAGTCACTTTATATATTTTTTCGTTCTTAATTTCTTGAGAAAATTTGTCGATGTTACGA